TCTGTGTCACTCTTGCTGTGCTAAATCTCAGACCTCTATTTTAATTAACAGTGTTCTGTGTCCTCCACCAGCCTACAGCCCTTGGGGGCTGGAGGGATGGGGCAGACGGGGGTCCTGAGGATGAGCCCCAGGCCCACGAAGCTGAGCCCGCCTGTCTGCAACTGTTCACCTTGCTCCACCCTCAGCGGCTAGACTCTGGGCACAGGACTCAGGGCCCTGGAAACTCAATGTCTTCCTCTGTAAAATGGACCTAAAATTTTTAAATGAGGGTTACTGTGCATGTGAAGCACTTAGGTTAATGTGTGACCCAGATTAAGTGCCTGGGCAATATTAGCCTGCGAATGCCAGTATTGTCTGAAATGCAGACAAACGTGAAGCTTGGCTCACAGGCCCTGCTTAACTAGTGAACAGCCATACTAACCATATCTGAGAATTCCAAACATGGTATTGGGAGCCTACAGGGTTAAATACATATCAGTTACATCTTAGAATTATGCATTTATACAATTGCACCTAACATGTTTCAGTAGAAAGTAGGGTGGCAGAAGCTATTACATAAATGTGTCTTGCACATTGCACATATTGTATAAACATACATTGTAGTTCATGTACATCGCATAAGGCATGCTGTTCATTGTATATACGTTGTGTAAACATAATCACGATTGCATATACATTGTACACATATGGAAATATATGGCATACGTTGCATATACATTGTACATATGGATATTGTGGAAATACGTAACATACATCGTATTTACATTGTATAAATGCATACATGTATTGTGAAGCATCTACAAAGCCTCTAGTACCTCATTAAGGACGGATTTTCTGAAATTTTTTCATGTGTAAGGGCAATTGTGACCTCTCGCCCTTCTTCTGGCCGTCAGCACCTCTTTCACAGACTCAGGACATGAAGAAAGCCAGAAGGTTTGGGGATGGCTGGATCTGCAGGACAGTGTTTTTGCTTCCCTAAAAGAGAAGCTTGCCTTCCTTCGTGGACCACAGGATGGTGTGTGTGGCCACAAAACCCAGAAGGGGAGGTGCTGAGAGAAAGCAGCTGCTGGGATCATTCCTGCTTCAAAGCAGATGACTGAAGATGTCGGTTTTGTGATTTTTGTCATTGTCTATGATGATGCCTCCAGATAGCGCATATTTACATCCCGACATAGTCTTGTTCTAACATCCGAGTACCCAATTAACCTAGAGGAGCCTGGAGCGGGCTGCAGATGAGGAGGGTTTGCACCGGGCCAGGCAGGTGCACCCTAGCAGGCACTGCCCCTAGCAGCTGGTACTGATGAAGCCTGGCCTGCAAACCCTCTGCCAGCACCGTAAACCCTCCCTGTTTAGATCTGGTATGAGTTCTAAGGAATCTGATAAATGCCTGCTTTTGTCACTCTGGCTGACTCTGAAGGGTTAGATAAGTCTGATTCTGATACACACTCCTGGGTGCAGGAAATAGTGAAAATTAGATCCAGAGAAGCCACACCTGTGATTTTCATCTTTATGAGAATATCCTGCTTCTGAACTTCCTCTTTCAAAATCCAGATGGCACCCAAGTCTGTAGTATGCCATCTTTATCACGTGTTTACAAGGAAGCTGCTATTGTGAATCCCAAGCAGCACCACAATGATCACCCTTAAAGGAACACTCCTCCGGCCTCTGAGGGACTTTTGGGAGGCTCTGCTTCCTGAGAGCTGTCCCGGCAGGCCCCGTCATTCCAGGCTGCTGCTGTGAGCGTCACCACTACAGGCTCTGGCCGCACTGGTTCTCAGCAGCGCGGGGCTTTGACCACCCAACGACCTGGAAGTGGAGACCGCTGACCTCCCTCTAGAACCCACTGGGTCTTTGCAGTAGGTTCCTCGGTGGTGTCTAAGCACGCTACCCAAATGACTTGTCATCCAAATGATTCACATGCACTATCACCACAGTGGAAACTTTTTTCGTTATTACTTAAAGGAGAGAATTCCCTCCAGGATGGTTCTGAAGCGTCGCTAGAGGGAGTTGGCCTTTGGTGGAGAGCCCTGAGCAGATGCACAGCACCTTTGCTGGCTTCTCTGGAAACACCCTGTGGATCCAGAGGTGGGTTTGTTGTTCCATGTGGAAGCCAGCCCTGCGTGGGGTGAGCTGGGACTGTGGGCAGAGAACTCCACGCACTGGGGCCGGCCCCCAAGTGTAGAAACTGCCTCATTCCTGCAGACGGTGCTGCTTCCAGGCTACCTGGATGGACTCCGGCAGGGCGGTCTCTCCCCCCAGAGGTAGGCCTGCCCTTTTCGGAGTGGAGGACACAGCCCAGGAAAACGCACAGCTTGCCCTGGAGACACAGGTGCTAATAGGGCCATCAGACAAGGGCCAGGGGCTCAGGGCCTTTAGGAGCTTCAGCTCCAGAGCCACCTTGGTGGGACCAAGGGTCTGCGTGAACAGGAAGCAAGCTGTGTAGACGGTGGTCCATGACGTAGAGATGGGGGTTGGGAGGGAGTTGAGCAGAGCAAGGAGGAAAAGCCACATTTACAGCAATTTCTGAAATCTTTTCATTTCTTTCCCCTCAATCACATCCGGAATAGGATTTGAATTTAATAAACTGCTGAAGGTTCCTGGCCCTGAGTTCCACTGTGCTCCCAGCCCCCGCTCAGCTGTGGGTGCATGTGGGCAGGGGTACGAGGGAGGGGGATGGTTTCCCGGGACGCAGCGTGCAGAGCAGTGATGAATGGCCCGAAACCCTCGCGCTGCTCTGCGCCCTTCATCATCCAGTCAGGGTGGTTAGGGACTGTCAGAGAAAAATAATTTGGCAGCCATGGCTCTAACTGATGTGCTGCATTCTGGGTCAAATGACTATTACAAAGTAGTAGCACTGCCTGGTTTCTCCATCGTGAGCGCTCAGGGCTGACAACATGAAAGAAAAAGGCATTGCAGCCAGAATTCACTGACATCCTTCACATTTCAGATGAGTAGGACGCAGGAGAGGGCAAGGGAGGGGCGGAGGGATGTTTCCTACTTAACAGATTCAACAGAAGAGTGCCAGGTTCTGCTGGGTGAGCAAAGTAGCCCAGCAGCAGGGCCACATCCCAGACCATGGGTGCTGGGGCTTCTCAGAGAAGGGGCAGGAGACCCGAGCCTGCCAAGGTCATGGGCAGCTTCAGGAGGGCTGTCTCCCAGCCCTCCCCCGACCCCCCACCTGGGGCTGCAGGGGTGAAGTGGCTTCCAGGACGGTCGCTGGCAAGTTTAAGCTACAGAGTGGAGAAATGGTGACAAGAGAAGAGAGAGGGTAATAAGAAGGAGGGGTCGGGAACACCAAGCCAGGCCCCAGCGCCCTTGTGAGGACATCGTGCAGGGATGTATGTGGAAGCTGTCCTTGCTGTTCGCCGCCTTGCTTTTATTTGGGTTGTGTTTTTATTTGAGGGTGAGTTTGGATGGCAGGACTGGGAGAGACTGTGGTCTAAATCCCTCCAACCCACTCCTTACAGTGACCACCAGATGTTCCGTAAGTACTTGAAAATGAAGGAATGGCTCCAGGAGAGGCAGAAGGCAGAGCTGTGCCTTACCCCACGCTGGCCAAGAGTCCAGCAAGCACTGGCTCACAGGTGAGTAAGTGAGCACTGGAACCCAGTCTTCAAGGTGGGGCCTGGGCCACACCGCACGTGGTCTGTGTCATCCTGTAGTCTCCCTGAGTGGCCTCTGAGGTTTGATGGGACCCTGCGTTCATGAAGAGATTTATGATCTCCCAAGGCAAAATAACGGGTTCTATCCTAGGTGTTACATGTACGGCTGGTAGCCACCGCAGCCGTAACTTACAATTACTGCACACTTACCACGGCCCCCAAATTGGGCTCAGTGCTTTTTAACTATGTGAAATGTTTCTTTCCTTGATTGATGCCAAAATGAATAAAGATAATTTTCTGTATCTGCTACATTAGTGATGCCCACAAATAATTCTGAAAATGATAAGAGAAAAGATAATTTGCATAAATCAGCCATTGTAAGACTTGGCAGCATAAGATTGTTTTAAATGGCATCAGAACAGTTTCTGACAGATACAAAGCAGGAGAGCAGGGTCTGGAGGCCGGTTCCCAGTGATTTCCCAGAACTAAATCAAATGGAAAAACTTCAGCGGTGACAGGAAACGTCCTCGCCATTTACATAGGGCCGACCCCTAGTAACCAGTGGAAACCTCTAGAGGGTATTTAAAGCCCAGAAGCTTCTGCGAGGGACTCTCGAGTTCCCACCCCGTGGAGCGCTTTCATTTTCAAGCACTCTGCTTTCGTTGCTTCATTCTTTCCTTGCTTTGTGCATCTGTCCAATTCTTTGTTCAAGACACCAAGAACCTGGACACCTTCAAAAGGTAACGCACAGAGCTAAGAACGTTCTGGAAGTAGTGAAGGTAAACGCAGGGAAGAAGGACCCAGGGGTCCTGCCGGGCAGAGCGAGGCTCGGCCCCCCACTCGCGCTCTGGCTTCCTTTGCCTCCCAGCGCGATTCTCTCTTGGACCAGGAACCCAGTCTGGGTCCTGCGGGGCTGGGTGGCCTCCCCGGCTGCACCCGGGCACAGGCCACCAGCCCCAGGGGGACGGTTCGCTGTTGCTCGGCCTTCTCCAGCCTCCCTGGTTGAAAACGCGACCCCAGTCTTACCCGGCGCGACCATCCGACCCCACCGCGTAGAGACCCAGTCCCTGACCGAGCCTGGCACGGATCCGCCTTCCCCGCAGAGCGCACCGAGGTGTGGACAGACGCGCCCCGGCCGCTCTCACCTTGAGCAGCTGCACCAGCCTCGGCTGCACCCGGCCTAGCCGTCTCCTCCCGGGCGGCTGCATCATCACCCTAAAAACCGCCGGCGCCACGAGCTTTCCGTCCCCTTGCCAGGGCCAGGGCAGGGTGGACATTCTCTCCCCTCCCGTCCCGCGTGACGGCTCCTTCCCCGAGAAGCCTTGACACCTGCTCCTCCCAGGGAAAGACCGGGCTCCCCACGCCCCCCGCGGCCCCCGCGCCCCCCGCACCCCTCACCTGTGGCAGCGGCGTCCTCCTGGCCCTGCCGGGCGCGTGTCCCGGCAGCCGTATGTCGAAGAGCGCCTGCAGCGCGGCCTGCGCGGCCTGACCCCGGGCCAGCTTCTTGCTGCGCCCCGAGCCCTCGAAAGTCCTGCCGTCCACGCTCACCGCCATCACGAAGCTCCGCGCGCGCGGCCGCTCGGCCGGTTCCGCCAGACACACGTAGCGCAGCCCGGCGCGCAGGCGGTTCAGCAGCACCACGGGGTTGCGCTCTCCCGGGGCCGCCGGGGCCGGGCCCACCAGGTCTAGCGCGCGGCACAGCAGCCGCCGCCGCCCGTAGGCCGCGGAGAGCAGCGCGGCGTCCCCAGGGCGGCCTCCCGTGAGGCCGGGGCGCGGCGCCGGGGGCTCGAACTCGTGGAAGAGCGTGTCGGGGAAGTCGGCCTGGTCGGAGGTGAAGTCCGTGCCGGGGCCGGGGCCGCAGCCCATGGCCAGGTGTGCCTGGCAGGCGTTGGGGAACTGCACGAAGGACCTGAGCGCCAGCTCGGCCGCGCGCATCTTGGCCTTCTTCTTGGTGGGCCCCGTGCCCTCGAACGTGAGCCCGTTGACCTCCACGGCCACTGAGAAGACCGGGGCGTGCACCGGGCCCGTCTGCGACACTGTCCGGTACTGCAGGCCCGGCCTCAGCTCGTGCAGCTGCACCAGCGCGTTCTTGGGCGCCACCGACCACGACAGCTTCTTCCAGACCAGCTGCAGTTTGCACACGCGGCCCCCGTTCCCCTCCTCCAGTGGCCGCTTCCTCTTCGCGCCAGGTGCGCCTGCCCCGGCCCGGTCCCCGGGGGGCAGCGGCCGCGCGGCCAGGTTGCCCACGTTGCGGTTCTCCTTCACCTCGGCGCTGCTGGTACCTGGAGGAAGAACAGAGCGGTCAGACCCGGGCCGGCCGGTGGTGAGAGCGGCAGACACTGGCTTAGGGAGCGCGCTGCAGAGCGGGAATCACCCCCAGCGCCCTGCCCGCCCGCGCCCCCAGGCCAGGCCTGAGAAATGACCGTGGCCACCAGAGGGACTAGGGTAGGAGGGAGCGAGCCCCTGGGCGCCGACGGCCCACGCGGAGGAGCGGCGTGGTGTCCCTGGCGGCGCTTGCTGAAGGCCTGCGGTGCGGAGCTGTCTTCCTGTTCTCAGTGCGGCTGTGCTGGCCCCTAACGCACAAGTGGCCCTGACTTTTTATGTGTTTTGGGCAACGTCAAAAGTCAGAGAGGCCTTTCCTGAGGTGGTGTGGTCGAGTGACCCCCTTCCCACTTGCTACCGGGACCTCCAGGCCCGGTACCCAATGCGCCCCACCCCGCCCCCAGTGCTGAGGCACAGGGGTTCCACGCTTCTCGGCATCCAGCCCCAAAACTCTACTTCCTCATTCACAACCAGAGGCGAGGCAGGTGCTGTCGCCTGAAACCTCCCAGGAGGGAACGGTGGGAGCCCGCCCGGGTGAGGCCCTGTGGCCTTGGGTGAGTCCCTGGCCTTTCCCCCAGAGGCTGGGCACACCTATTTGGTAAATACAGTCGGTCCTCTGTATTCCTGAGTTCCCCATCTGCGGATTCAACTAACTGCGGAGAGAAAATATTCTGGAAAAAATGGATGAATCACTACGGAAGGTGTACAGACATTTTCTTGCTATTATTCCCTAAACAATACAGTATAACAATGGTTTACATAGTGCTGACATTGTATGAGGCATTATGAGTAATCCAGAGATGATTTAAATACAGGCACATGGCGTTGTTTTGCTTCCCAGGTATCGTGTTATTTACACATGGAAGGTTTGTGGCAACCCTGAGTTGAGTAACTCTATGGGCACCACTTACCCCCCACCATGTGCTCACCTTACGCCTCTGTGTCACATTTTGGCAATTTTTTTTTTTTGAGACATAATCTCACTCTGTTGCCAAGGTTGGAGTGCAGTGGTGCAATCTTGGCTCACTGCAACCTCTGCCTTCCAGGTTCAAGTGATTCTCCTACCCCAGCCTCCTGAGTAGCTAGAATTACAGGTACATGCCACCATGCCCAGATAATTTTTGTATTTTTGTAGAGATGGGGTTTTGCCATGTTGGCCAGGTTGGTCGTGAACTCCTGGCCTCAGGTGATATACCCACCTCAGTTTCCCAAAGTGTTGGGATTACAGGCATGAGCTACAGAGCCTGGCCACATTTTGGTAATTCTCAAAACATTTTGAACTTTCCCACTATGATACCCATTATGGTGCCCTCTGATGAGTGATCTTTGATGTTACTATGGTGACTGTCTTGGGGCATCATGAACCGCACCTATTTAAGACGGCAAACTTAGTAAGTGCTGTGTGTGTTCTGACTGCTCCGCTGACCGGCCAGTCCCCCATCTGTCTCCCTCTGCTCAGGCCTCCCTGAGAAGCCCCAGCAGTGAAACTAGGCCACTTAATATTGCTGCAATGGTCCTGAAGTGTTAACTGAAAGGAAGAGTCACTTTTCTCTCGCTTTAAATCAGACGTAGGGAGGAAGGCATGAGGGTAGCCCGGACGGCTGGAAGCTGGTCCCTGGCAGTACCCAGGCCACTCGCTTAGCTTCTGCCCCGGGAGTCTTGCCACCTTCATCAGACAGGCAGACACTTTAAAAAGGCCTGTGATGTCCCAGTGTTTCCGGATAGGTACCGCAGGTTGGTGGTCACGAGCACAAGTACAGCTCCTTCGGAAAGCATTTTGGGAGCATCAGGTATGAATAAATAAACACACATGTTACTCAGCAGTTCTGCCCTTGGAGATGTGTCCGAGAGAAACCTTCATACACTGAGGCAGAGCTGAACAAGATGTTCACTGCAGCACGCTTTCGTGAAACTGCAAAGTTTGAAAGTGCGCATGTTCCTATGGTTAGAGGAATGGTGACTCATCAGTGAAATAAGTGCACTACAGAATACTATGTAGCATCTAATGGACTATATCCATATGCTTCAGTGTAGATGAATCTCAAAAAATAGCATGCTAGGTAACAAAATTGACTTGCAAAATAACCCATAGGGTGGGATATTACTAATAAAAGTTATAAGAACATCAACATTCTATATTCTTCATGTAATCATCCTTCTGTGACAAGGGTCCTGATGTGTGGGTAATAAAGATCCAGTCCAGCTTCCCCTGGGGAGTGCAGGAGGGAAGTGCAGTGAGGGGCCGGGGTCGGCTTCACCTCTGTCTGCAGTGCTTTATTTCTTTGGCAGAAAATGCTATGAAGTCAATTGAGCAAAATCATCATTTGCTAGCTGGGGTGATAGATGCATTTGATGACGATTTAATTTTTCTGGACTGACCATCATGGACCACTGTTTTCTGGCAAAGCTGTTCCATTAGGGAATCTCAGCCATGGATGGCTGCATGGCCTGCCAGGTCCATACTGCCCTCATGGTGAATGTGCTTCTGGAAGGTTCCATGCAGGTTTACTACAAAATACTCTGTGAATTACGGTAGTGAGCTGTGCCCTTGCTCCTCCCTGAGGCCTGGCTCATGCATAACCTGGACTTTGCTGCTTCTCTTGCCCTGGGGAGGGTATTACTGTCTGATTTGCTCGGTAAGGAGGTTCCTTTACTGAGGTTGCAGAGTTTGTTAGTTGGTCGAGGTGCAGCTCGGTCCCAGGCATCTCAGATCAGCTTCATCTGTGTTGTTGCTGTAAATCTGATTCTGTGGAAACGGATTAGTTCCATCACCGTCTTGGCCTCTATACTATAACACCCTTTTCCGGGCTCTCTGGAAGAGGAAGATGAAGCTGGGCCCACAAGCCGCCCCTGACTGGACAGTGACCTGTCCCTGGCGAGAACACGGAGGCTTCCCCTTGCTCATCAGCCTTGTCTGTGGGGAGAGGCTCTTGGGTGTGAATGAGTTTTTTCTCGTTAAGCAAGTGGAAACTTGAGGCAATTTTTACTGCTTGAAAATAGAGGTTGACAGTGGCTGGATGTTGACACGTGGACCTGCTTTCCATGTGGCCTAAGAACCAAGCAGGAATGAGACCTGGCTGGCCCAGCCCCACGCTCCCCGCCCCACAGCTTATGATGCTGTTGTTGGAGAATAATAAAGACATACAATTTCAAAGGCACAAAAGACGCCTTTCAAAATCAGGTGTCTTCGTGAGGTGTCCTGATATGGGAGAGTGTTCTTTTCAGGTGGCACGCTGCCTGCCTGTCCGGCTCGGAGTGTAAACTTGGCCTCAACTATCACCCCACCGGGGTGCTCCTGCAAGAAGGCTCTGGGCCCTGCTTTGAAAGTGCTCTCTGCTTGCTAAAATCTCTATTTCTCATTTGAATTTTCTGAATTGTGAGGCGGTTCTGTTGTTTTCTCTGGCAATGGCGGCTAAAAAAGTATTAGGTCTGGTGAGATAATTTTGTTTAAAATGTGGATCTCAGAGCTTGATAAGTCATAGGTGTGTGACATTCACTTACAGTTGATTGCAGTAGAAACAGTTGCCTTCCAAAGAGAAAGTGCGCAGTGTAAATGCTTTTGTTAATCATTATGCACTTTGGGTATACATGTAGCACTGAGCTCTGCTGTGTCTTGTGTTTCAGGCCGAGGGGTGGCAAATGCGATTAACCATGTGATTTTCCAAAATTGAACTTAAAGATGGAGCAAAAAACCAACATGATCGACCCCCTCACCCCATACCAGACTGCGTAGAAATTTGCTTGGTATTCTGTAATTTCTTATTGATTTCTCTCAAGGTGGGGATGGACAAGCCTGTCAGTGTGATTACAGCGGCTGCTGGATCTCGGAGCGGAACGCGCAGAGCGGGACGCGCAGAGCGGAACGCACAGAGCGACGCTTTGCCTCTTCCTGACTCCATGTCCTATGACTGTCAGAATTAAAGCTTTCCCTGGCATAAACCATGAATGTCACATGGTGGCGTGAGGGCCTCTTTCATAATAATCAATAATTGATGATAAGGGCATACTTCAGGGCCCTGCCCTGGACACACCAGCTGGGCCCTCTGGGGTGATATCACCCAGTTATGGTTTAGACTCCTCTCCACAGGCCCCGATTCCCATTTCCCAGCAGTGGCCTCTGCACAGAGCTGTGGGGTCTGGGGGCTCAGCGGCTGCTCCAGGCTCTGCTCCATCCTCCAGGGTGTGTGACCTTGGGCATGCCACTCAGTTTGGCCAACTGATTTTTTAAGACAGAAAATGAAGATTTTAAAAATATTTGCCTTGCAAGGTTCTTAAAGGGACGAACGGAGGCAGCACATCTAATGGGCGAAGCGAGAGTCAGCCGTGGGTGAACATCGGACGCGTTTTTAAAACCCAGCAGGGAAATGTCGAGGCAGACACTTCTCACCCCTCTCCACCCGTGCCTCACCCACCTTGCTTCTCCCTGTCTGGGCCCAGCTTCTCTCCCTGCTCGTCCTTCTCCCTGTGCTTCTCCGTGCACTTTGCAGGAATTCCAGGGCACCTGGAAGAAGGGTTTCCAGGGCCTCACATCTGCGAGTCCCGAGCTGTGGCCAGGGGTCGTGTCTCCCCCCTGGAGCGTGCTTTGCTCCCTCAGAAGGGCTGAGAGCAGCAGGAGCCCTCCACACACAACGCCTCCCTCTGTCTGGTTGGCAAGGCAAGTGTTGGTTCTCACAAAACCCTCCAGAACCTACCAAGTCAGGTAACGGTGCAGGTGCCTGAGGCAGACAGAGGGAAAAACAGGCTTCGCCTTTTTGATGCCTTGGGCCCAGTGGGAGAAATCTTGACACTATGACCCTGTGACAGTCGTGGGGATGGTCTCGCACTGTGGCCTGTGACCCTGTGACAGTCATGGGGCTGGGCTGGATGAGGGTGGGAGCTGAGCTCG